TTCTTAACTCCATACGTTATAGAGCAAGTTGGATAACTTCAAAGGAAATTTGTTTTCTAGTTTGCTGTGTGGATAGAAAATGCAACAGACTGTACATGCCCTGCTTTGTTTTCTCTAGATATGTTCCCATACACCATTGCACAGTGATGGGCAGAACCCAGACCAGTGAAGTCCTCTAAGTACAGTTTATTAGGTACAGGAATACTGTTGTTACAGTCCTGTCTTCCCTTCTGTAGGCTTAGTTACCCTTGTTTGTTCAGCCTTTCCTCACATACCCAGTTTCCTAGGCTTCCAGGCATTTCCTTTACTGATACCTAAACAATCTCCATTGGCCCACTTTTTTCTGGCAATGTCATGCTCCAAGAACTGTGTAATTTATGGACTCACTGGTGTCCTCCAATCTGCTGACCATACAGCTTTCCGTAGTCTGCATTACCTCTGCTGCTGGCACAGGAGCATTACAGGGATCTGTGGTGGTTCTTGTCATCTGCTAGGATGAGAGGGCTTGTAAATTCAAATACCTGCAGCGAGAAATGGAAGTGCTAAGAGCACAAGAAGGATATGGATCAACAGGAGCAAAACAGAGTGATAAAATCTGGTACCTCAGAGGAGCTCATCAGCTGAAATTTTGCTTACCAGTTAAACTTACTGGAACAGTTTAGCTACCCAGTAAATCCTGATGGAGATGCATGAACCCTAAGATTTTATCTGTAAAAGCAGGATGCAGTCCTGTGTCACAAGCATAGCCTGCTTTTCAAGCCCATCTAAATGTGACATTGCTACAAAGGAGAAAGCCAGCTCTGAAGGGCTTAGCCCTGTATTATCTCAAGAGTTGCAATGTTCATTTTCACACATTTTAGTTGTTGTATCAGAACCTGCAATGGAAAATACCCATCTGTGAAATCGCAGTGATTTCTTCTGTTCCTGGGATTACTCTATAGAAACAAGAGCCGGGTCAGACTCTTGGCGTTATGGTTCTGAGTTGTGAAGGCTGACTGCAGCCCTTGTGCTCTGTTTTGGATGGTGCATCAATGCTTCAAGCTTGGACACCCCCACAGCCCCCCACTTCACTGCTGGGCTGCAAGGACCACCACAAGGTCCCTGCTTGCCACAGCCAAGTGGAGGTCTGGCAGTGCGAGTTCGATGCCCGGCTCTGCTGCAGGTTCTTTCTGTGGTATTGGTGGCCACTTCCACAGTACCCAGATGGTCCATTTATATCTGTCAGTGTAGGTGACAGTATTCAGCACCCCAGGGTTTCTGCGTGGAAAATTTCACATGTTATCATGAGATAGGATAGGATCAGGGAATCACATCTTCCACCGTAAATTGCCTTTTGATCTGGGGCGTTGTCTCTCACTAGTGTAACAATCCACTCTAAGCTCCATCCCAGAAGGGTTTTTTAGAGAGTGAAAGCTGCTTTACAAACAAATTCCTCTTAAGACAGTCATCACCATCATCGTTCATCCTGCTCACATCATCATACGCAGTATGGTACAGTGCCTGGTGCTGGAGAAGCTCAAACCTCCAAGGGTTCTCAGAGTAAAACATACATAAATGCAGCTAAGGAAAACTATCCTTCTGCCATCTGTTCTGTAACCCAGAACCCTGCATACCTCTTGACTGTGTTATAAAAGGAAAGATAAATGAAAAAAAAAAGAAATCATGTGTATGTTCTCCAGTCAGATTATCGTACGGATATGGTACCATCTTCTCGCTTCCCAGGCAGAAATGAAGGAAAAAAACCAACTCTCTCCTGAGCTAGTAAATTCCCCCAATCAGTAATTTTTTCTCCTGATCTAGTGAGCTCCTTGGGAATAGAGGGGGTTTTATTCATAGTATTATTATCATTATAGTAAACTGTTCCAGGAATGGTTTCAACAAAAGAAGTAAACCTTACATTGTGCTCAGATAATGTTCTTAACTTCTCAACAAGATTTACTAAATTGCACCCTGGGAATTATGCAAATGAAACCTTTGGTCAAAATGTTACAGGATTACTGGAATTTTATTTTTTTTTTAAATCTCATTAAGAGTGCTAAAATTACATGTTCCAATATAAAAAGCATGTGCCTTTGTGCGATGAATATCTCCCTGGTAGTAATACGTACTATGCTCCATTGTCAATGGTCTTTGCAACTTTCTGTGACAAGTGCTACTTCTCACATGACTTTTTCTGAACATTTCACATCCTTGTATTCTTACTGGTAATGGGATTAAGTGCAGGTAACAGGCAAACCATTGTAATATGATGGCAATTAACAACAAATAATGAGTTATTGCTGAATATTTGCAACATATTTCCCCCTATCTTTGTTTTGCTCAATGAAGTATAATTAGATCATGGATTTTTTCTTAGTATAATTGGGTAAGTCGTGTGGGTCTTATGATATATTCTATCTCCTAGATCTGTAATGATTTACATACAGACAGCTTAGACCCTATTAATGCTAATAGAAGTGCTGCAAGGACATCCTATAGCATACACTTTATTAAACTGTACATAGCTTTCTTAGAGAGCTTCTGTTTATCTGCGTTTCCTGAAAATAAAATATAGTGCCTTTAGCACTGAATATTTAAATCCAGCCTCCTTTTCCCTGTTTCTGTCTGTCTCTATGCATTTCTAATGCTTCTATCACAATGGGATCTGGGTACTATATGCAACAGGAAATAGAGCAGAAAAATGTCCGTGAAGAACTAACAGACTCTCCCCTTCTGTGATTCAGGTTAAAATTGCTTCCCTTTTAGTTCCTTGGAGGGAGACTGGTTCGCTGTTTGGTGCTGGTGCTCAAGTCAGGGCCATAGTTGAGCCAGGCTGGGGCTGGGGACACCTTCTAGTCTCCCATGCTTCAGTGAGTGAAAAGACAGCAAGAGTGCAGATGCCTTGGGTTTGGGATGTTTCCTTCCCCCTCTGTTAAGGAAAAACTTTGTTAAGGGTGAAGGGCTCATTTTATCCTGACATTACAGGTCCTTTCAAGCTCTGCAGACACACATTGAGAGAGACAGACATGCAACTGTGTGGCCCAAGTCACTGTGGTTTTTTCCCTTTCTTTCTAATTTCTGAGATGGGAACCCCACACTGACTGACAGCTGGAGGTCAGGCAGTGGCTTCCTACGTTTTCACTTACCTTCAGCCTAGGTACAAACATGTAGGTAGTGGGTTAGAGCGTGACCTGCCTGGCTTGAGCTCTACATTTGCACAGACTTGCGCATAAATTCAATGTTCAGCCCTTTCCACCTGGCAGGATGAAAGCTGACTTTCTAAAAATGGGGACTGTGGACTTCAGTTGTTGAACTGGTGAGTCGGTTGCCATCATTGAAACCACAGTTATGCAAGCAAAGCTTGATTTTAATATACTCCTTTTCACCCACAGATTTGCTAATGAAACTTGTACTCATGCCTGTCTACTCGGGTCCCTATTACAAATACCCACTGGACACACAAAAACCTGTATAAACCGCTGTGTGCAGCATGAGGGCACTTTCACAATGTCCCCACTACCTCTTTTAAGTGCTTATACCAGTGTAAGTCCAATCAGTTTTCCTTGCTACTAATAGCCTAAACAAGCAGTGAATCCTGTAGAGAAAAGACAGATGAAACTGTCTCTATTCC